CGAACCGAACCGTGAATTTTGTGTATCGTTGCACCCCTAATATATTTATATTTATTATTTATAAATATTTATATTTATTCTGCTCTTAAAAATTTGAGCATGTGCGAGTCAAAAAATAGTGAACCTGACTCTTATTATTCGGCTGTAACTCTGATAACAACCAATCCCAGAGTAAAGACAGCTGTCAGCATTTTCTTTAAACTTGACTTAAAAGCTCAGCAACACAATAGCGTCAGAAGAACAATGACCCAACTCTTTATTGTGCAATTATGACTAATGACTAAGAATGTAAAGTTCAAATGTCAGCACTGAAGTTTTGTTTAAAGAAGCAGTTTCTGTTTGAGCTGTATGATTCACTCAGAGATTAAAAAGGACAAAAACACAACAGATCTGTTGTGTGATTCATTTATCTGCACTGACAGAAGGACTTACACAGTAGGGAGTGTCAACAATCACCCTGCTCGGGAATTAAGTGGTCAGACTGTATTAGGTTTCCTAGAATTAACAAATGAACTGCATCCACCGTCAGTGACATAACGTGGAATTACAGTCTCCTAGTTCTCACTCCCCCCCCTTTTTTTTTGTATATGAGGGGTGGGGGGCACACCGGTGGTCTAAATACTAGAGACTGCGGGCAATATTACATTTCCTCTGCACATGCTCAGTAAGCCTGTGGAGGTGAAGTGCAGTTATCTCACTTATGCAGAGATGCTCAAGGTTCAATCGAATTTTCTCATAAGGAAATTTGTTTTTTAATATTTTTTTGCTGCCATTTGGATAACTGGATTTTTTATTTTTTTTAATTCCAGAGGCCAAACAAAGACTCACAGGCTTGGACAGCTGATTGAAGGAGATGCTCTGTCCTCACTGCTGTTCTGCATCGGCATGAAACCCCCTCAGTGAGATCGTTGACGAGACTGGCTGCAGACACGACTATAGAATCGAGCAATCATCAGCCACCTCCTCTACACGGATGACATCGAGCTGCCAAGAGTGAAGGAGACATCGATTCACAGATCCACACCACCAGGATATACAGCAACGACATCGGAAGGTCGTTCATACT